AAAAAAAAAAAAAAAAAGATGCGCTACAGCCAACCCGGGGGGAACCGGCCCGGTCGACCGGCCGGTAGGACCGGTCCGGTTCCGGTTGGGGGAGGACCCCCTGCTCCTACCGGGTTTTTAGCACTGATTCATTGGATATTTTGGGCGACCACGACTCATTCTCTTCTCTATCGTCCCCCTTCTCCTCTTTATCTCCTCCCATCCTCTATTGTCTGTGGCTTTCTCCTCATCCGCAGTGCAAGGAGGGATCTTTCTTCTTTGTATGGCACCCTCCTTGCTGATCTCCCATGTATGATGATGTTGGTGCTAGTCATGTCAGGGTCTGACTTGTCAGGTCATATCTTTGAATCTTCTGCTGTGCTACATCCCTACGCTTATAGAAATCACTATTCACGATCTTAAGATCGCGCGGCAATCCAGACTGTCCGCTTTGCCTGACGGCCTGGATCGTTGCGGGATCTTAAAGTCTTAAGATCACGCGGAAATTCGGACCGTCGGGCCAGTAGGACTGCGGGCGGCCTGGATCGGCGCGCCCTTTGGAAATAGGGGCCGTTGCAGGCCGACGCTTTTGCTGCATTGAAGTCTAACGGGCCCTCCCACCTGCCCACCTCGACTCCGCCACCGGCTCCCGCCTTCCGCGGGCCCCTACCTCCCTTCCGCCTCCTCCAGCCATCTCCCCTCCGCCACCGCCCACCATCTCCTCTTGGCCTCTGCCCACCATCTCCTCTCCGCCTTTGCCCACCTCCCCTCCACCACCGCCCACCATCTCCTCCCTGCGCACCCACCTCTTCTCCGCTTGGGGGCCACCTCGCCTCCACCTCTGCCCGCCGGTCCCCTCCCCTCCGCCTCCCCCCATCCCTTGGGATTCCTCTGCCACTTGTCCTTTGGCATTCCCCCGCCAGTTCTCCTCCGCTCCCGCCTCCACCTACACTCACCTCCGCCCACCTCACATCTGCCTCTGCCAACCTCACCTCTGCCTCGGCCCACCTCACCTCCACCTCCGCTCACCTCTGCCCTCCTCACCTACGGCCTGCCTACTGTACCGGTCTCTCTCTCTCTCTCTCTCTCTCTCTCTCTCTCTCTCTCTCTCTCTCTCTCTCTCT